ATAGATAGATAGATAGATAGATAGATAGATAGATAGATAGATAGATAGATAGATAGATAGATAGATAGATAGATAGATAATCCCAGGTGTAAATTTGAGGCATCCAGTAGCATGTTCTAATTATATAGAAAAAAGACACGTGAAATAATAAAAAAAGAAGCAGAATACACTAATTTGGAAAAAGACAATATGCACGTGCACAAGGAGGTAGTGAGCACTACATTAACCTACAGTATATATACATACACACACATCTAAGCATACATGTATATGTACATGTAAATATGCAACTTGAAACAACTTGAATATCAAATAAAATAAAAACTGCTGAAAATACAACTGTTTTTGTTTCAAGCCTCAGAGCTGCACCTTCATCATAGATTCAACTACCGCATCACTCACACACCTAACCTCAATGCTTTTCAGACTTAGCTGAGACAAATGCATGCACTTTCTAAAACATTTCTATTCTTTTCATGAAACACCACAAGCACACAAATCTTTCCGACTCATGTAAATTATACGGCGCCTGCTGGGTTTTATGCTATTTTCTTAGACATAAAACATTTGTGCTGACTGCAGCAGTTTAAGAAAAATCAAAGCAAACCAACCAGTTTCAAGTTCCACAAACTTTAACCCTACACAAAACTGTAATCAAATATACTTTAAAGAAGATGTTGTGTTTTGCTCAGGAGATGTTTTTTCTTTTTTGCATTTGAAACTAAATATGCATTATTAGCAGTAAATCTTGTTCACAACTTTTAAAAAGCTTCCATTTCCTCTTATTGCACCCTTCATCCTGCCCTTCACTGAGTCCTGCTGGCGAATGTGTGTGTGTAGTCATGTGAAAGTGCACAGATGCAGCACTTACTGTACACACAGAGAAAAAGGCCAGACTTCTTTATTTAGCTGAAGTTGGTAAACCCTGCTTTCATTCTTTTTCCCCCCAGCTTTTTAATGTGAACCTGTGCAGCAGATTTTCCTTTTGAAAAAGGGTGCCTGACAACAAATTTGTATTTTGGTAACAATCAGGGTGACAGATGGCACCAAAATGAAAAAAAAAAAAAGAGTGACAAAGAGCCAAACATATTCAACTGAGAGTCGACCTGTTGTTTATTCAGCAGGACTCACCGGGAAGCATTTTGTGAAGGTATAACAGCAGCTGCAACCTTTTTTCAACATTTACGAGTCATCATTTCTGCAAAAACCCACAAGCAGCTCCTCAAAAATTCAACTAGTTCCACCATTACACCCCACTGCACGAAAACACATAAAAATGACCCTTCAGGAGGCCAGCCTCACTTGACTGCTGTTCAGCTTGCACGTGACGAATGTGCACAAAACTGAGGTTGGATTCTGGAGAATCTTTGTTGTGGAAGTTACATTTACAGACGTCAAAAGGAATAAACATTTGGAGATCTCAGGAGGTCTCCATCTGTTCTCTGGCTGCCAAAAGTAATTAAAACACGGTACAGCAATTGAAGCAGAAACCACTACAAAAGTCATTTCTGTGTCTGTGTTAAGTGCCCATCTCATTCCTTTTTTCATGAATTTAATCACTTTCTAGCCAACATCTTATAAGTCCACCCCCCCCCCCCCATCTTCTCCTGCTTATATAATTGTCAAAGTTTAGGGCACTCCTGCACAAAATGATATCATTATCAGCAGATTCTTGGGTGTCAGAAAAATACAAATTTATCTACAATTTATCTTAAAATATCTGCAAATACTCATGAATCATATAATCAAATAACATCACTACAACATGCAAGAAGGATCAACCTCTAGCTTTGCTCTGGTGTTCTTGTCTCCAGTGGTCCAAAAACCTTTTCACTGGCTGGAAAAAAAAATTCAACACAAATGGAGATCAACATTACTTAAAGGCCAAGACTCTGCGGTTTACACTCATCTGCAGGTCAGCGGTCACTCCTTGAGGGATGAAGATGTGCACATCCTTGATAGAGAGGATGGTTTGAGGAAGCCATCTTTGTGAAGAGAACTCATCCATTGTTAAACAGAGGCGGAGGTCTCCATGTTCAACTGTCCCCCTCTTAATGCTGTTATTGCTAATATCTCTCAGCCCCCTGTGAATAGCAAGCGGCCATCAGGGTACTAACAATCCATTGTTAGGCTCATGGTGAACAACTAGTTTTAAATGTTAACAACAAACTGACTCACTATGAGAAGATGCTATTTATAAGACTGAGTTTGTTGCGGCTCCTCAGACTGACAAAGTATTTGGGATTAAAAACTAAACTTTTCAACAATTAAAATAATAATAATGATAATTTTTTGAATCTGTCTAGAGGACCTGATTTAACTTTGTTAGATTTTTTTACCTGGATTATTAAGCACTTATCTCGCTTAAGCTAAAAAAAAGATACATTCTGTGAACTTGTCCAAAAAAAACTTTGGAATGGTTTGATGGCTGTTTTCAGGCATAAACATTTTCAAAATCTGTTGCAACATTTTCACAAAAACTCTCCAGTCCAATATAAACACAATTATTAAAATTACGTTTTTTAAAATGGCATTTTTTTATGGCTTTGTTTGCAAAGCCTTGCTTCACTATAGAGAGCTTTCTGAAAACATTTGTCAAATCAAAGCTGACGCAGTCTTGAAACCTCTCCTTCTATCTGCGTCTGGACGCGGAGTTGCGGCAGCTGGGCGCGCGCGTACCGCAACGTTTGTGCGTCTCTTTCTGGCTCGTAACACATTCCAGCAGAGAGAAAGCCCGAGAGACGGAGTGCGCGAGTGTTTGTGGGAGAGAAGAGACGCGCGGAGAAATGTCTTCGTGGACTATGGCATCATGGATGAGGCTGCCCAAGACGCACCGGGACTTTAATGATCAGACACAATCAGCCAAGGAGAGAAACATCTGAGGTTACAACTCAACAAACCTCTGCGAAACACAGGTGAGGCAGATGAAACTAATCCGCAACCTCTTGAAAAATCCAGTCATTATTATCTTTAAATATGGAACCAACTGGAATCATTTTGTTATTCCGAAATTATTATTATTTTGAATGGATTCACAAAGACAAGAATTATTGCACAAAATCAGTCCATACCTAACCTTTATTCAGCACTTGATTTACGATATGCAGTGTATAATATTTCATGAAATTAATCTCTATTTGAGTGAATTACCGTTGAGCTGCGGGATAAATGTGCGGTCTCTCATTCTGCGTCTTTACGCACGACAGGGACTGAGTGTTTGTGTCGGCAGCTGAACTGGGAGCCAGTATGGACTCCGACAGTTTTATTCAACACACTGAAGGAGACCCGGAGGCCACTTTGAGCCCTTTCTCAGACAGCTCCAACTGGATGGACGATGGAAACGAGACGAACTGGAACCAGTTCCAACAACCCGGCTGGCAGGTGAGACAGTGAATGAATGAAAACATGAATGGATGAAATGTATCCCACTGAATTTGTTGTGGTTTGTTTTTTCAAGGTTGAGGTATTTCTGAATATTTGCTAAAGGAAAAGTGAGCGATAATGTTTTTACTCATGTCTGTTTGTGCACATGCTCTTGTGTCTGTTATCACAATATCTCATTAAAGAGAGGACAAACTTTAACGGAGCTCTCAGTAAGGAATCATATGATTTATATCTACAACTCTTTAACTTTTAGAGTCAATCCATTTCATGATGGCTGCCACAGTCATCTGACCTTAAAGAGCGCAAAAAATGGTTATAACTCAGTCAATTTTACATTTATCTTGCTAAATCTTGGTGTGAAGTTAAGAATGATCCATAACATATATTATGAGTGCTGTTTAAAATCTTTTTTAAAAATATCATTAATTATTCCTTGTCAACTCAAAGGGCCTGTTAACAAAATGTTTTATGAACCACTGGACATTTTTTTTAACGAAAATTTCAGGAAGTAATCATTGGATGTAGGTCTACAACTGATCAACTTTACCCAATCCAGTTCAAGATGGGTGCCACAGCCACTTGACCTTAGAAGGCCCAAAAAATGCTACAATTCATTTGATTTTACAACAGTGTGCTAAGATTTGATGTTGCCGAAGATGAGAGTAATTTACAACACACTGCTAAACTACACATTGAGATCTTTGCATAAAACTTGAGCAATAATTGTTGGATGAGATGAGGTCAGGCGGGAATCCCCGTGATGATGTTTGCAGATGACATTGTGATCTGTGGTGAGAACAGGGAACAGGTGGAAGAGAACTTGGAGAGGTGGAGGTATGCACTTGAAAGAAGAGGAATGAAAGTCAGCCGTATAAGACAGAGTACATGTATGCAGGGGCAGTCCTAGCCTGTTTGGTGCCCTGGGTGAACAACCCCTCCAGGACACCCCCCTCCCCCTAGCCTGCATCACCACCTCCCCAGCCCTGGGTGCATGGACACACTTCTCCATGGCATATCATTTAGGTTTAGACATCCAAAGTTTCTTTAAATATATTATTCAAAAACTTGAAAATGAAGAACTTACAGTAGAATAATACTATAAACACATAGTCAGACACATAAATACTGTATACCATGAATTTATAAGTATACAATCAATATATTAAAAAAGGAATACTGTAGAAAATGAATACAATTTAAAAAAGACATTTCTAAATTGCACCAATATAACACTTAAGAAAAATCTGTGTACTACAAATGTACTTTGATCAAGATACAAATTTCACTGCACAACTGTCAAGGAAGGTCTGACCTTTTTGGAATAAGACAGTTTACACTATTTCACTTCAAGAAACACAAGATTGCAGATTAAACTGCACAAGTGTCACCTAATAGTGACCCTTCTTTCCTTCCTTAATGCAAAGTCATCATGTTATCATATGAAATCTGCTCAGCAGTTGTATGGTTGATAATGACAATGTAAACGGTCAACAACTAAGACAAAAGCAAACAGGCCTACATATATGTCCAATCTGTGAAATATTCAGAATAGGAGACAAATCAACACCTCTTCCATTTTATGGCTATTTAACACAGTCTAAGCTACATCACATCATTGTCTTTAGTAATTATTTTCAATCTTCAAAACGGTAATATTTTCTGCTGAAAACCAAATATGTCATACTAAACATCTAACCGTAAACAACAGTTAGCGTCTTATTAATTAATAGTAAGTCTATCTTGCAACAGGCTATAGCCCACATAACAGAACACCTGTCATGCTCCAAGAGGTGACACAGCTGCATACATTTATCTTTTGCTCGTTCTTCTTCTTCTTTTCTCCTTTTCCTAAACTGGGAACCTGATTGCTTTGACCTTTTCTTGCCCATCTTCCATGTGTGTAATTGGCACTCGAGCGAAGTACCGTAGGTTATCACCGCACATCCCCCAACATGAGTCAAAACAGCTTAGGTCTAAACTAATTCACCCTCCTTGGTGAGCAGATTGGTTTTTTGTATTATTTTTTCAGCTATTTCACAAAAATAAGCTGCAAACTATTAGCTATATTTGCAATATTATGAATGCAATGTGCTTTGTTTGGGAGCAATCAGTCGTGCTATTTACTAAGCGATTAGATGCATCCCTGTTCCAGCAAGGGGGGCGAGAGCATCCCCCGCTCCTTCTCCTTCTCTCACAACCTGTGTGTCAGACCTCAGCAGAAACTACACACCCTGCACCTACTGGAGGATGCCCACTCCCTGCAAGTGGGCAATAGGAAACTGATATAGGCTAGACAGGCTGTATGAAATAATACTTTATACTTTTTGGAGAGGGAGGAGCCAGGAGCTCGTGACGCTCTTGACAAGATGCCACCCTGGGCAGCTGATATGCCACCCATATCAGAAACAGCCACTGCCGGTAGGAAAAAGACACAAGAAAGGTGAAAGAGGAGATAAATGGAGAGGACATGGAGGTAGATGGAGTGAGGACAGAGTGAGAAGGAGGAGGAGGACCCACTGTGGACACCCCTGAAGAGGACGAGGTGAAAGAAGAACAAGAAGACTGAGTGTGACATCTCATAATGTCATACGGGATTACACATTGTGTTATTGCTATAGTTGTATCACAATGGCTACAACACCATCATTACTCCACCAAAAATAGTCTTAGTCTGAACCCTGTTTTGTTGTTTTTATTAAATATTTCATGCCTTAAATAGATTCAGTTTACTTGTTTTGCTTCTTGTGACACTGACTGTTGTTTCTCTTAGCTCCCCTGGTTTCTCTAACCACACAGCTGCATCTCATGTGTCCAGTTAGCTCTCCTGCTCCCCTTCTCTCTGTTTAGACCATCTTTGGTTTCTCGTGTCGTTTGTCTGATGCTCCATGTTCTCTGTCGCTCCTCTGTGTCCCCGCTGCTTGGTTTTGTACAGTTTATACCTGTTGCTCCATGTGTGCTCCTGTAAGTTTTTGTTATATTATTCCTCATTCAGTTACTCTGTTTGGATCTTCTTGTTGGACTAAAATAAAGATGAGAATCAATTTTTGACACATCTGTGACAAAAGTGTGTTTAAATAATTGATTTGATGTACTATAAAGGTAAATATGCAGACTGTTTAAAGATGCACAAGGTTTTCCATTTTTAATGTCTGAACTGTTTTCTTTCTGGATTGTACCATTCCTCCTCTGCTCCCCTCTCAGGTGGCTCTCTGGGCCATAGCTTACTCTGTCATCATTCTGGTGTCCATCACCGGCAACGTCACAGTGATTTGGATCATCTTGGCTCACAGACGCATGAGGACCGTCACCAACTATTTCATTGTAAACCTGGCCTTCTCTGACGTATCCATGGCGACCTTCAACACTCTTTTTAACTTTGTCTATGCGCTTCACAACGACTGGTACTTTGGTTCGGGTTACTGCAGGTTTCAGAACTTCTTCCCCATCACGGCCATGTTTTCATCAATTTACTCCATGGCTGCTATTGCAGTGGACAGGTAAGACATGCAGAGTTAGTATGCGTCTGCTGTTTGTCTGCTAAATATGTTTCTCGATGTAAAGATGATGCTCTTAAAAATATTTTGTCATGTTTTAAAAGAGTTTATAACCTGAGAGTGCGAGTAAAAGCTCTGGGGTAGGTTTGAGTGTGAAATATAAAAAAAACCCACATTTATTAGTGATGAGCAAATGATACTGAGGCTTCAGAACTTGTGTCACTTTCTGAAACAGAGTGATTTATAACACTGTGTAGGAGCTTGTATCAAACACCACGTCACGTGACAAATTTTATATATATATATATATATATATATATATATATATATATATATATATATATTCAAAGATTCAAGAGTCTTTATTTGTCATACGCACCACATGTGGTACATGTGGTGGAACGAAATTGGGTAGTGTCCCAGTTACAGCCAACAAAAGTAATAAAATGGAAAATAAAAACAGTAATCAGACCTAAGATATAAACTAAG